GTGTGGTTCTCTTCCTCCACAGAAGGTCCCTGTGAGTTGAGATAAACTTAATAGCAAAGTGTAATAACAAGCAAGAGAAAGAAAATGAGAGAATGAGAATTTCAAAGTCTCAGAAGTGAACTATCATTTCTGACTAAACTGAAAACTTAGAAAAAGAAAACAATAAACTGTTTTAAAATTTTCACTGTAAGGCAAGTTCAGGGAACAAGAATTAAAATTTAAGGAATCTTATCTCTCTTATAAGCTTAAAATGGATGTAATAAACCCATACTACCATTTGACATTCTGAGTGGAATAGAAATAAAATAATTATGATTGGTTTAATAAGTCTTTTACTGTGAAAGTTATTGTGTTTATTGGGAAATATTAAGGCACTGAGAATTGGAATAGGGACTGAATTTTTACTGAGCTTTCCTTAGTACCAAAATTAGTTCTTCTTGTCTCTGAAAATGTTTCCCCTTGTTTGAATAGCCTATGTCCATTCATCAGTGGGATTCTGATTCTCAAGAACATGTAAGCCACTTCAATACTCTCAAAGTCACAAGCACATTCAATTCCAGTAGATAATTAGGAATACAATTGGAAAGTTTCACTTTACACTGAAAGCCACAAAGAAATTTCAAGTCTTTGGAAAATGTCACCTAAGACAAAAGAAAATTAATAAAAAAAATAGTGTCTAGACTAAAAGACAAAAATAAACAGAATACTGAATGCAAAGGTAATGCAAATTATTTCTAAATTTTGGCAGGAAGAGATATATTTCCAGAAAAAACTTTCTGTACCAATGCTATTTACCTGATTTGACTACACTTAAAATAATATATACATTGGAAGTCACACTTTACTCACTGCTTAAATGAAATTTCAAGAACAGAAAGTTCATAGTCCTATTTGTTTACATTTTCCCCATCTAGTTAGGGAGCTCTGGTGGCCAAGAGGTAAGAAGCAGTGCTGCCATTCTTAAGGCATGCAGTTCAAATCCACCACCTGCTTTGTGAGAGAAAGATGAGCAATCTCCCACAATGTGATTTAAAGCCTCTGAAAACCCACTAGAGTGTCAGCCATAAGTCAGTTCCAACTCAAGTGACATAAAACAAGAACAATTTAGAATATTGGTTTCAACATAAAAGAAATAAAACACAAATTGTCTGATTAGTCAATAACATTTAGATAACTCTTAGATTCATTCAGAAAATATGAAATATGGAGAGAATCTTAAAGCTTATCTAGTTCAACTTTTGTATTTGAAGCTGTGACTTGAGATGTGAGGAAGAGGTGTGATATCTTTCATAAAAAAATAATTAGAGAAAATAATGGGAACCATTTTTGTTTCTTCCTATTTATTCGGCTGTGTCTTGCTTCTTGAAATATACTTCCAGTATATTTGGAACACTCTGCTGTTATGAATCTACTAGTGGCTCCATGGGATAAAGAAGGGCTATTGTCTCCTCTGCAATTTATGGTCTCCCAGTCTTCAAAAAACACTGGAGAGTCAGTGGGGAGTAGTCCTGACTACTCAGGAAATGGGTTATGTCAAGTATTAGATATATAGCATTTAAAATATAGAAACACTTCACTGTTTTAATTATAAATTATTTATGAATGATATAATGTTCCAACTACAACATGATTTAAAATTTGTTCATCCTAAATTTAAAAATCAAGAATTAAAATGGAAGCTAACACATTATTGGCAGCAAGAACTAATGTTTATACATGCATACACTGTTTACTTACAAAAAATGAAGTTATATAAAAAAATTACGTGAGAATGTTCCATGAAATTATTGACTAAATTAAAGAAATTAAAGGGTCGGATAAAATTTCTTAGTAAGTACAGAACAAGAGGAGTGGAATTATTTAGTATAGAACAGATTGGCATGGCTTATACTTTAGAATAGCCGACCTAGTAAAATCCATAGTTACTGATAACAAAACTTTTCTCAAAAAATTTGTTAGAGTCCTTTCTCACTGAGCAATATATGTATGGATTAGAAACCAACAGATTAGTAATCCATGGTTCATGTATAAGTACCACTTATTTCTGCTGTCTCCAGGGTTTCTTAAAGAGATCTAACCCCCTACAGATAATACATGCTAGTAATGAGTAGAAATTTGTACAATTCTGTAAAACAGAAAGAAGTATGTCAGTGACATTGCTGTATTAAGGTTGTTTTTTTTTTTTGTGGGGTGGCACACCTAGAGGAAAGTTTGTACAAAACTTTGCTCTATTGGAAAAGTATGGTGCTTTGGCTTGTGTAAAATTCATGTGGATTTCTTTCCCTGTAGCCAATCAACTTAACCTATCACCAGACTCCACAGGATATTTCTGTCCCACAAATGTTTTTCAAAATCCACTATGCCAAACAAAATTTTAAAATACTCAATGATCAAATATGAATTATACTAGCAAAAAAAAATTCCACAAATCTTACAAACAAAACTAATAAGATAAAATAGTTCAATTTTCCTAGATCATGAAAAGAAGAAAATATAGGGAGTCAAAGTTTATAAGTTAAATATCAATATGTGACATGACCTAGAAACTTATTCTTTCTAAACTACTTTTATTTTATTTTAATATATTTCTTCATAGTTTTATTTGTTAAAATAAAAAGGTAATATTTTCCCCCAAAGAGCTTCAGAAAAATAAAATTGCATAAAAATTTAATACAATACTGATGTAAATAATAAATAAACAGAAAACTATCATAACGTGTTATGTGTGGAACAAAATTGTAAATAAAATAAAATAATAAAGAAAAAAAAGGAATGGAAAAAGAGAGAAATAAGAGAACATGGTGAGGGGAAAAGAGAGTAGAAAATAGCACACTAATTTGAGAGTGTCTGTAGCTGTAAATCGAATCCTGCATCTGTAAATAATAAACTTCCATATGTCATCACAGAAAATAGCCATCCTTAACATAAAAACAATTAATAGATTTTCTAGCAGAGGTAAACTCTGCAAGCTCAGATTAGTTGTTTCAACAACAGATTAGTTGTTTCAACAACATGCAAACCAATGCTCCCCAGAGTTTTGTGGAAGGGAAGCGTATTAATACCAACTCTGTGAGCACTCAGCTCCATGACACGGAGCGTCTGCTTAGGAGGTCATCTCCAAAACGTATCCCATACATCTTCATGCACAAGGGATGATAATTTATCACCTTGACACAGAGATCTACTGTAAACTAATCCAAACTGCTGATGATACACTAAATCAGTTTGAATGATGAGTATAAATAAACCTGAATGTGAAGTACTGAAGGATACAGATATATCTGACCAATGAGATGTCATAAAGCAAATGAAATGCAATGTTGACAAGCACAGAGTCCCTTGCTTGGAAATTAGCCATATCAAGGTTCAGAGCATAAAGCTGTAAGTTAATACAAGTTTTGAATAAAAGTTTAATATAATGGGAGTCAGAGGAATGCATATTTTGTCTAAAATAAATCTGAACAGACTATGTCAGTAAAAAAACAAAGATGGATTGAAAATGTACATATTTTGCATACCAACTAAAGTATGACAGGATAAAGAAAAATATTGCAAAGCAATAACCCTTTCCAAATAATATAATTATTCAATCTGTTGAGCAAATCTATACACACAGATAAGAAAAAGAGAATAAAAACTCTATTCAGAAAATGATTTCACAGCAACTTGCTACCAGGAAATCAAATTCAATTTGTGTTGCCTTTATAAAAGCTTAGATGTTTTCTTGAACTGTCATGCTACAACTTCACTGGGGAAAACAAAGAAATGGGGATAAAGAAGGACATTCCTCCAGACGGTTGATATTCATAGAGGGCACTCCTTGAGAAAAAAGATTTTTCCAACTATGTGATCAGAATAAAGTCTTACACGACCAGCAAAATAGATTCTATGAATTCGTCTATTCTGAAGGTGTCCCTAATGGAAAAAGCTGATTAAAGTAAATTTCAACCCCTGCTGTCACAAATCTGTAAAAATGTTTTCTAAGAAAAAGTATTCCATAAGGAGTTTATATTTTTTCTTTGTTGTGTTAAGTATATATAGCCTTGTCATAATACATTTAACTCTTACTTTGTATTTTGCCTTTACCTCTTTTTTTTAACCTTTTGAGTAACAGTTGAGTCTTATTACTAAAGTATGGTCTGATCCCAGATGTAGTTTATTTAAATTTCAAAATGAAAAGCTTACTAAGAACAGATAAGATTGATTGCTCTCTCTGTCTTAGCATAATTGTATTTCAGGTGAACATCAATTTACTTTAAAGGACACTTCTAAGTAGCAGAATGCATCATAAATAATTCATCAATCACAGCTGCTTGAAACATGATTTACTCCAGCAGATTTCAATAAAATGAAAGTTTTATTTTTCTCTATTTGTGTTTGTGTTAAAACAATTTAAGTATCCCCTTTTAATAATTCACCCCTTGATTCCATACTTCCTACTCAATTTGTACACAATTTGGTAAAATGATTTCCTTTCCTTTATTTTATAAAATATTGCATTTTTAATAGGAAAAAAACAACTTAAGTAATTTACAAACAGAAATCAATAAACATCAATAATGAAATGACAAAAATGTATTTGAAATATAGTATTAATTTT